CCAAAGTCAAATAAAACCTGGAGCCGAGGCCACAGAGGTGGATTAGTGGCAAAGCCAAAGGTAAATCCCATCTGGAGTCTCACCTATTATCAGACATCCAACCTCTTCCTTGGGAATTGTAAGTAGATGACCTTTAAGGTCCCTTCCAACCCAAACTATCCTACAATTCTGGGATTCTCCCCCTGCATTTAATCTTCTCACTTTTCCCACTCCCTCACCACTGTGATATTCCTCATAAAAAAATCCCTCCTAACTTCAAGGACCCCATGAACGTGCAGGGTTATTTATATAATTCTGTAATTTATATGTATAAATATATAATTTATATATATAGTATATATAAAATATATATTTCTATAATTTATATATATTATATATAAAATTTATATATTATATATAATTTATATATTATATATATATTTATTTGTGTATATATAATATATATACTGTGTATATATAATGTGTGTATATATAATATTGTGTATATATAATATATAATATATATTATATATATTATATATATTATATATATAATTTGTATATATATTTGTGTATATATTATGTATATAATTTATATATATATTTGTATATATCTAATTTATATATGATATATATAATTTTTATATATATTTATATATATAAATTATAGAAATATATTATATATACTGTATATAAAAATTATATAATTTATATATGAATTATAGAATTATATAAATAATAATATCTATATATAAATAAATAAAAATATATATAAGAATTATATAAATATATAAAATCTGTAAATTATATATATTATATGTAATATATTTACATATTATATATTTTTATTTATATTTATATATATAATTTATATTATATATAATGTATTGTCTGCAAACAGTGGGAGAATGGGAATTCAGCCTGGAGACACCTCCTCTTGGATGGAGGACAGGAACCAACCCCCTCCTTAGCCCTTAAATTAGCAAAGTGCTACCAAGGTAACAGCCCTCTCCACAATATTGTTGTCCTGACTAAACAACTCACCCTGAGCCGAGTTGAAATAATCTGTTTTTTCACCTGCAGGAGTGAAACATTCGGGACAACATTCCAAGACGGATCTGGTTAAGGCCATAAAAATTTTGTGGTCACCTATATATTATTTTTATGCATATGCTTTAACACGACGTGTTTTATGGACGTGCTAAAGCGCCATAAATCACCTAAAATGTGGTGTGAAACACTTCAGGCTCTTACCAAGGGTATCAGATGCTCACACATATTCCATATATCCGTGGATTCGTGCAGATGCACGAGCGTGGAGACCTGAAACCTCCGGAGAGCGGGAGACTGATGGGAATAACTCCCTTCCTTGCCTTCTGGGTGGGAGGTCAGGAGAGCAGTCGCTGTGTCTGTGATGGATTAGCAGCGAAAATGAAGACAGACAACGTGGAGGAACCACAGGGCTCCAGCAGTCACTGGGTGTGATCCCACCAGCTGGAGCAAAGGACGGGGTTTCACGGGAATTATGTTGCAGGAGAGAGGAATTCTGTCTCTTCCACTGGATGAAGACAAACACCCTGAAATTCGTGCTTCTGAAGACCAGCTTGAGAAGTGTGGTGGTTTGAAAGTCCCAAGAATCCAATCTCCAAGTTCAAGCCCCCCCCTCCCACAATTTGCCCCTGTGAGAGGGTTTAGTGATGGCATGAACTCGATATTTTTCTCACCTCACGTGAAGAGTTTTCAGACAAAACACAACTATTTGGTATTGGGGGAAGGGGCAAATAATTGCAAAGGTTTATTTACATACATATATATATTTACATTAAATCAAATTTCTCTTTCTTTTCAATAAAAATCCAAGAAGGAAAGAGAAAAGTCTTTCTGTCACTTCTCATGCCACAGTTCCTTCGTTTCAGTTTTTTGTGTCCCTGGTTAGTGTCTTTCATTTTATCCAAGGCAGCAGATTTAAGAAAAGGTTTTTCAAAACACCACAAGAAGTCTTAAGGCAAATTGAAACCCTCAGCTGGCTGTTCTTAGGGTCAGGACACAGAGGAAGAGGACACATCAGGGAAGAGCCCCTGATTGACCTGCTGTTCCCATTACTTTAATTTCATAATTCCAAGATTGGAGCACCATTCCCTACCATGTGTTGGCTTCATCTGTCCACACGTGCTTTTCAACTCTAGCAAGTGGGGCATAAATTCAGATGTTTAAGTCAGGCTGGAAAAGCATCCAAAAAGCTACTCAAGCTCGTGGAACTGGAAATATTTGGAATGAAGGTGCTTCAGGAGTTTTTCAGAGCCTGGACATTGTTCGTCCTCTGCAAGTCACGTCGGAAAAATTGCCCTAAGAGAAATTCCCCTCTTTCATTTAAGATATCAAATTAAATGGGGTCATAATGATCTTTTCTGATCTTAATGTTTATAAAATGGTAGAAATGAGTTGGAAAGAGGGGTTTGTTACATGAAGTTGGGCAAATGTGCTGCAGGTTTGATGTGATGCTCCAGGGATCACCAGTGAAGGACAGGTTGGGATTGGTGGGGTGTCCTGTGCAGGGCCTGGAGTTGGACTGGATGATCCTGGGGGGTCCCTTCCAGCTCAGGATATTCTGTGGCTCTGTGATCCTACAACCTAAAGCCTTAAATGTGTAACAATCAGGTAGATTTCCAAAAATGATGGTCTGAGCAGAGAAGGGGGGAAAAAAATGAGAATGTCATTTAATGTTTCTACAGAACTGGTTTTGGTGATTTCAGCAGCCCAGGAACTCAAAAATCCTTTAACCATCAAGTTTTGGATATTTAGGGGAGGAGAATAAGGACAGAAACCATGGAGAAGACACCACTTCTTGCTGTCATTGCTTCCATCACCCAAACTTGGTTCTTCCAGAACGAGGGAGCTGCTTCCGAAGAGCTGCCAGGCTGAGATCTCAGCGGCACAACTGGATAAATAAAGAAAGAAAGAAATAAAAACCCCAGCAAAACCAAATAAATAAATAAAGGACCAGCAAAAGCTGAAGTTCAAAGAGCTTCCCAGGTGGCTCAGGCACCTCCCCTCATTCCCAGCTTCTCCAACAGGCATCGTGTGTCCCCGGGAACGGCGAGTCGGCTCCAAGAGAAGCATCAGATGGGTGAGGTGGCAGCAGAGCTGGAAGCATCCCAAAAAGTTTCACATCCTGCCGAGGGCTCCACCAAAACCAACACATTTCCACAGAGCACTTCACTCTCCTCCAGGGGAGTGGGTGTTTCCCAATGGAAAAACGCTCCGGATCTTATAAAGGGTCGATTCAGACGCCGGGAAAGGGAATTTGGGTTCTTTGACAGCAGAACCTCCAGAGGGATGAGCTGATTTTTTTTTTTATTTGTTTGGAAAAATTAATTTGTTTGTTTGTTTTTAGCAGAGGAAACTCCCGTTGGCTTTGGCTGATCTAGGGTTTCAGCCCTCGGAGAGGAGAGTGGGAGACAGAAAACTTAAATTAGGGATTTATAAGTGTGCTGGAAATCAGAGAATCAGGAGGGTTAATTAAGAATCCTTTTTGCTGAGGGTAGGAGTGGGTGGAAAAGGAGAAGCAGAATGAGAGAGTGGCATAAAAGAGTCTGGAGAGCAAATCCTGCCTTAGGTGGAATATTCCCTAGGCCTGTTCCCTGGGATATTAAATCCCTGGAGTGTGTCACTCCTGGACCAACGTAGAATTAGCCTCAAGCTCCTTTAAAACAAAAAATCTCATGGATTCCCAACCCCACAAGAGCCAGGAGAGGCTATGGAGTGGCAGGAGAGTGGAATATAAGGGAATATTTATTGGGAGCCAGGGATAAGTCCAGATCTTGGCTCTGCCTGGCAATTTGGGAAGTCTCTTGTCCAAGCCCATTAAGGAAAGATTCAGGGCTTCAAGGGAATCACCAACCTGGCAAAGGGAAAGGTGGAGACAATGAAGAGTTGAAGGATTTGACCAAGGTTATCCAGCTGTTAAAATTTAAAACCTTAATTCTCTCAAACAGCCACATACTCTGGACGTGCCACCAAATGCTGGGAAAATTATGGAATTATTTGGGTTGGAAAAGAGCTTTAAGATTATCAAGTCCAACCATTGAGGCCACCACTGACCCAAGTGTCACATGGAAATGGTTTCTAAATCCACTTGTCATCTTCTACAGAGGCACATCAGGCCCATCTTAAAGAAATATAAATAAAAATAAATAAAAATAAATCATCATCATTATGGCAAATAAGTAATATTAATAAGTATTACTTATTATTAATTTTTAGATTTATTATATTTATAGTTATTATTTATATTTATATTTATATTTATATTTATATTTATATTTATATTT